CAAACACATCATTTTGACAATCAGTACATCCACAGCGAAAATCTATTTTCGACGGTAACACCACTTTGTATAAATTCGTCTTGTGCAGAACTTGAACCATGCCATAATGCTTCTTAGGGCTGGTTTCTCCAACTCAACTTAACTTAGTTTAGCCACTTTTTGGACTTAAGTCAAAAGTTAGCCTACGTTTTACACAGCTTGTTCTTGACTTAGTCAAGAAAATTGGCTTAACTAAGTTAAGTTGAGTTGGAGAAACTAGCCCTTAATGTTGCACATTGCGTCTGGCTAAGTCCCTGCAATCCTCGATGAAGCAAAGTAGGTACTATTATTTTTAGATTTTTCAAACCCAAACCCACTTACACTGGTATTTTCAACAATGATTTTGGTGAAATTAACAGAGATATTAATTTACCTTAATTCACAAAAGCCCTAACCCTTTTTTCGAAAGTGCGTTTTTCATAGATTTTGCTAGGATATATTAAAATACACCTTCACTAAAATTTGAAAGTGTTAGTACCAAAAACAACGGAGTTATGCCACTTTTTAAAAATCCTTAGCTGCATACATGATAATTTTTTATGTTTTTTGCTTCTCTTGTAAAATAGAAAATTTGCTGGTTACGGCCTTTGCGAATTAAGGTAACGATTTAATGAAGTTACTAAAAATTTGGGTTGAAATGTTTAGTCATGCTATTTGTTTTACTAAACCAAGTATTGGCTTTATTAAAAATGTGCATTGTTGATTTTTTAACAGTGTTTTGTTATATTAACCACAAAGTTGGTGGCATGAAACAAGTTTTTAGTTTTATTAACCAATGTTTTTTTATATTAATCAAACAATGTTTTTTATATAAAACACAAATTTTACAATTTTTTTAAACAAAAAATTGGTGATACCAACCAAATTTTTAGTTTCATTAACCAATAGTTTGTTCATATTCAACAAACAAAAATGTGATAATATTAAATGATCCCTTGGCTGTTAAATAAGAAATGATTTGGTTTATTTTTCAGTTTTTTTATTTACAAAAACTTATTTCTTATTTAAGATTTTCCGTTATTTATATTACAAATGTTCAGCGGAGGACTTGAAAATTAATGTTTTTTTAAGCATTTCTTAATTTTCTTCCGATTTCAAAAGATTGAGAGTGCATGTCAATTGGATTACAATCAGAGTTGGCACTTGCTACGATTTTTCAAAAATTTTAATTTAGCTACTCCACTACGCTTCATCTTATTTTTACTACGTTTTTTTATCTCATTCAACTTGTGGGCAGTAACGATTTGGAAATCGATATTACTTTAAAGATGTGGTAAACAGGCAATGGCTTTAAGATTTAAATGGGTTATCCTACTGCAAATTATGCAAATAGCGCCTGAGCAACTACATCTGCAACACAAATAGGCACAGCCGGTAAAATTTTCACATAATGGAAGAGGCGCAATTCAAGCGTCACCCTTATCCCAATATCGTTAACAGATGGAATGATTCAACTTGCGAGATGGATACAAAGTTGCAGAAAGAGGTAGCAATGTCCAAGTATTGCAAGTCGAACTAGTTCCTTTTTTTAACAATTAATTGGTTGCCGATTTATTGCAAGCTATAACAGATCCCAGTATTGAGATAAAAGGCGAGTCAATATACACTGCTATATTTATTTAGTTTATTTTATGTTTAATATTTTTTTATAAAGGCCTAGGTAGTTATGCAACAAACATCATATAAATCCGCTTTTCAAATTTTGAACAAAAATTATAAAAATTCGACAGATTTTTAAACTTTTTTTCAGAATTTTGAGAAAATTTTGTGGTATGCAGTTTTGTAGCCCATTAAATTTTAGTTTAATAAAGTGCAAGTTTAATTTGGCTACAAAATACCGTTGATTTTTTTTTTTTTTTTTTTGCTAACGGTGTCACGCATTTTTTCCCACACAAAGTGTGCTCGACAATTTTTTTATATGGAAGATAATGCCTAGTATCGTTAACAAAAAAATAGTCAAAAATCAACGGTATTTTCAAGCCACTTGAAACTTGCACTTTATTATACTGCATACCAAAAATTTGTCTCGAAGTTCTGAAAAAAGTTAAAAAATTTGGTGAACATTTGTCGGTTTTTTATAATTGTTGTATAAAGTTTGAAAAAGAGATGTATATGGTGTTTGTTGTATAGCTAGCCAGGCTATATAATAAAATATTAAACATAAAATAAACCATGAAATAATAGCCAAAACTCCTCAAAGTAAGGCGAGTCTATTATTTCTGCGACCACTGTACATAGGTAAAGGTTTAGTTTTCCTTATTGCACTTTTCCGTACAAATCAAATTACATCCTCAAAAAAAAAATTTCACTTATTATTGATGAAGGTAATGAAGTAAGCGTCAAAATGTGCTCAAGTTCGGTAAAAAAGATACAAATACAAAATAATATATAAAAAGTACAAATATTATTGAAATATATTTTTTTTTTGTTTTAAATAGCATATAAATTTAAAATAATAACCTATTTGTACTTTTGCTGCGATTTTTTTTTACTACCACCCCTTTTCTGCAACTCTTTCGAATTCGGATTTTCAAACTTTCGAAATTCTAACAATGGCATTCCTTAAAACGAACTAGTAAGCTTTTTTGCGTAGTTTTGTACGAAAACAATTCTGTGTCGGAGGCGAGATAAAAGAAATAAATCCAAGTGTGTTTGCCGGAAATATTAGTGGTGTTCATTTAAAGAGATACATTTGCCTTTCGTATATACGATAATTTTTTCGGTTGTTGTGTCCAAACGCATAACCCGAATCTAAAAACTTGTACATACACGTGTAATCAAAGGATTAAAATTTAATTTAAAATAATTGTTTAAAATTTCCGACCGATAGTTCATTAATTAATTCGGTTTGCACTATGCACTTTTTTGTAAATTTCGATGTGGGTTCTGCGCAAAAATACTGTGGATGGCGCGGCCGGAGTTATATGCACAAGAAATGTTGTATGCTGTTGACATGCGGAAGCCCCTCTTCTCCGGCAACAAAGAAAGGAGAATTATACTTAGTAAGGGTTATAATACCTAAGCGCGTCCGAAGGCAGAAGCAAGCATAGGAGTTTGTGGTTGAACAATTCAACCAGAAGCTGACATAGATGCGTCCATGGTTACTATGCCCGACAGCTCCGTATATTTTTATGAATTCTACTTCCATAGCGCGCTCTTACTCTGCTGCTATAATTGCAAATGCAATAGAATCGTTTCCTTCAAAATATGTAAAACCAAACAATTTTACCATATATAAGCACTTGATCAATGTTTTTTAATTCCTTTCCACTTTGTTTTCCTTGATACATCTATCTTCGAAAAACAACTGATAGCTGGCAATGTTGCACAGGTTTCCGCAAGGGTTGGAACATGTCGATTTTTTGTTTTACGTAACGTACTAAAAAATAAGAATGACGAAAATTCGGGTTCCAGAATAAGGGTGTACGATTTTTCTGGGCTTTGGCAACGCAATCGATTTCGTGAGGTGCCAACCCTGATTACAATATATATAAATATTATTATCAGTGCAAAAAAAGATTTTATTGTGCATAAAAACATATTTGTTATAAAATGACTGGGATATTGGATACTTTTTGTGTTTATGTACTCTCTTTATGTAGTACCACATAGTTTTTATGTTAGCTTGGGCGCACTTAAGCCTAACATGTGATGTTAAAAAATGTTTTATCTTAAAATGACAACAGATCGCTGGTCACACTAAAATCTTTCATTCACTTAAACCAAATAAACATGGCTACGGGTTACTAATCAAATTAATAATAAATCTATTTCGCATGTCTTACAAAATTAACGACTGTGGAAAGTGCCGGAGATGGATTGTCAAATTCAGTTTCAATTTCAAAAAAAAGTTGCTGTATAAACAACCATGCATTTTGACTTGCGCTTGGGTAAGGTAAATTTAAAATATGAAAAGTTTTAAAGCAAGCAGATAAGCACTTCGGAAATGAATCGAATTCATGTAAGACTTCGTCGATGGAAAGATAAAATTTTTTTAAATTGTATTGAGTGGGACCGACAACAATGACTGTTGGCTGTGTTGTGGCGTTAGTTTCTATACATTTCTTCCTGATTTCGTTCAATTTTGTCTTGTAATTGTTTATACAAGTTAAGTACAAGGCGAAACTTTCTTGTCCGTCAGATATAGTGAATTTACCCCTAGCTTCACCATTCGGTTTCTTAAACCGCGCTGTAGGAACAATTACGCTGTTGAGCAATTTCGCAAGAATGTAATCCTCGCCGCCTAAAAGTAAAAATAACGGTCAAAAAGTAATGTCAATTAACAAGGAACGGATTTTATGGAAATCGCATTTTTTTCTGCTAAAGAGATAGAGTATATTCGATTAGGAATGTCCACGATTTAGCTTTTCCTGATTTCATATATACACATTTAATGTTTTTTAAGATATTTGCCTTTTTTGTCTTTGCTACCTTTAATGTAAAGGACAAGGAAAAAGCCCTTATTCCTGATGATATGAAAGTTTTAAACGTTCCATATTTAAAATGGGCACCACTGGTATCAACTCGCGTCGAGCGCACGTTTAGTACATTCAAGGCATTTCTTCGCAAAAATCTAATGAATGTGCTGCCAGAAAACTTTAAAATGCATCTTGTGGTTCAATGACACTACAACTATAGTGATTAAAGTTTTGTTAGTTGAAAACTTGAAGGGAGAAAATAGTCAAAGATTCAAAGTAGGCATTTTTCAAATAATAGTAATAGTCATAGTTTTTCTCTTTTTATTTGTAAAATAAACATTTCTAAAATAAATATATTTTTTGATTATTTTTCGGTTCGTGTCTTTTTTTTTAAGTGCCTACTTTTGCCTTTTTTGCGATTCCTAGTGCCTTTTCCTGCCTATTTCGCTATTTTATTTTGCCTTTTCTAGCCTATTTCGTTACTTTATTTTGCGTTTTTTATAGGTCCTAAAAATCCGTTCCTTGTCAATTAATTCCTCTTACTTGAATTTCGGATCTCTTTACACACAGAAAACTCTTCTCTCGACTTCGTATCTTTGATGTTTACTTCATAGAACTTGCGAATTTGGTGTTTAAAAGTTGTCCATTTCTCCAGTAGTTTATTTCCTCTGTCGGGATATTTTTCGTCAAAGTCATATTCAATCTTTATAAAGATATTTAGAGTTATAAATGAGTGAAGAGAACACATTTTTTCAAATTACGTAGTTACCAATTTATAACCGAAAGCTTGTTTGAAAGATGGCCACTCATGTAAAAAATCGTTATTGTCGTTGGTCCATCTTGGGCCCTTTTGACGTAGTGGAAGAGTTCGCTTCCAAACATCTGATATAGTAAACCCACCGTTGTCCGCTATAATGCTAAGTGCTGGTTCCGATTTTAAAGAATTTTTCAATTCAATGAGCTGCACTTCATCAAACTCTTCCACGTCGCATTTTTCCTCGTAAGAAGTCAGACATTTTTGAATTTTACGCCGCTTGGTCTTGAAATTGTGATACTTATCATACAATTTTCCTCCGGGATTTTTTCTCGGTCCTCTGGGAATGAAGTAATAGTCCTAATAGGTAAAAGCAGAATCTTTTCATGTAATAAAAGTATGTAGAAAATATTCATAAGTGCATACTTTTTTTTCAGTTGGAAAAATATTGATAATTTGTTGAACTATGTAGGAGAAATCTTTACATTGTAATTTCAAGTTGCACGCAAAAAAATTTTCCAATAATAGTACGATTAACTCCTGTCGATGAACTTCCATTATAAACCTGTTTGCTTTAAAGAAATCCAAAATAGCTCTCCCGTTATCTTGAGCTTCTAATATCGTTCGTACACTTGGATTCGAAAGAGATTCGTCGGGTCTTTGGCTTTCCGATAGCCAACTTTTGATTGGTGTAACTATAGATATGTTTTCATCATCAATTTCGAACTTGAAAAGCAGAAAAACGGAAATCAAGGAGATTATATATTGTTTGAAAAAATAATCGCTGTTTTTTTTAATTTACTTCTCTTTTTTTCCAAGTTAATAATTTGCTCCTGAATTCTGCTCGGATTCCAATAGCAGGTATCATATCTTTAATGTCTTCCACACAAAGGTATTTTAACCTATCCACAGTCACTTTGTTTGCTAAACAGGAAACAATAATTTTACAAACACATTCACTTAGAGAATAACGCATAGTAAAAATTATTTTTTATTTGATTATAGTTTAAATATGTTCGTATTAAAAGATAATACTTCCATACCAAAATTTAACACGCACGTATTGAGTATACACTGAGGGAAAAATAGTAAAATGAAGCATTTTGCACTTCACGGATGGCGTTTTGCACTTCACGGATGCTTTTTCATAATTGAATAATCGCGCCCTTACGTGAAGCGCGAGTGAACGCGTGGAGAGCATTTTGCCGCCCATATTTAAAAAGCTGTTGTGTCGCAATTAGTAGTCAAATGAATTCAAAATAATTTTATTAAGCAAGTATGAAATATAAACTAAGCGTTAGAGCAACATTTATTAAAGTTTTACTATTGTATATAACATCGCTTGATCTTTACAAATGTGTTGTTTGAAAAATAGCATGCAGTTTTTCGTCCCGGGCGACAAAATGCTCATTGCGCGAGCACTCTAGTGTTAAGAAAGTGTATGTATGCCAAACACGCACAGCGATGACTACTGTGTTAACATATACATGGTACATGTTTATCTGTACAAATGCACTAATCGCGTGCTGTGGTGTTGATTCAAACTCAACATTTGAAAGCGCCTTTACATTTCTGGCTGTAGCTGAGTGCGCAAAGATGCTTGCCACAATTTCTTGATTTCCAGAAGTCAGGGGGTTCGAATTCCATTGCAGGGAACATGCAAGCTAAATATATATAAATTTTTTTTGTTTTATCTTAATTATGAAAAAGCATCCGTGAAGTGCAATACGCCATCCATGAAGTGCAAAATGCTTCATTTTAAAATGGGCGTATTTGAATGGAATATTTTCCACTATACAGTACTTTCATTCACGTTTTTAGTAAGATCAAATACGCTTTCGTTTGATTTTACTATTTTTCCCCTCAGTGTACATAGTCCAAAAAATGTCTTTATTGGAACAGAATAGCGACCATGTATGTAATTTAGGAAGGGCTTGTTAGAATCAATTTGATCCTTTTAGCAAATCTAAAAAAGTATGTTTTAATAAAACATTTAAGGACAAAAATATTAAATTTTCTTTGGGGTTGGCGAAGATCGCTATCTTGTTACAAAAATGCTGTTGGTTAGCGATATTGACGAATTTACTTAAAAAAAAAAACATATACCTGTCAACATCGGCAACACATCCAAGCAGTTCCACTCTTTCAGTTGATTTTCCAACCCATCCATTTTTTTCTCTTCTAAAAAATCAAATAAATAAAAATTTCGTTCAACAGTCCAAAAATAGGTAAGATTAAATGTTCATATCTTCTAAACAAAAAATACATACACTTTAAAATTTGCATATAGGTGTTTCTATGAAAATTTAAACCAAAAACGTAAGTAAATGGGTTCAAACGACTTTAAACTTAAAATTTCGTATTCAGATGGCGAAAATGTTATGAAAACACGAAACGGTGGAGAAAAACTGAAAAAAAAATAAATTATATATCGTTACCTTTATTCACAAAGGCCCTATCACACACATTTTTTACCTCACAGGAGAAGCAAAAAACATTAAAAAAAGAGTATCAAAAACAGGGCTCAGATCGTACGTCGATCAGTCGTGAACGAGCAACTCGTCACGTCAAAATGCATATTTCGGATTATAGCTGTCGTGAACTACTGCTCGTCTCGTATAACGATTTACTAGAGCAGTACGTTCACGACTGTTATAATCCGAAACATAAACAGCTTTGTAATTGAAAATTTAAACTTACACATACGCATACTTTGTTATATATAAAAAATATCTATCTGTACTTTTAAGTCGCAAGACTGTAACAAATAAATAAATAAATAAATAAAAATAAATAAATAAATATGCAGTTTTACGTGACGAGTCGCTCGTCCCCATTGCCCCATTGGAAATTTTTAACCAAAATTTATAATTTTTTTCTTTCTTTATCAAATTTAGTAATTTATTTTTCAATTTGGTAACTTTTTCGATTCGGTCCTCGGTCCTACATGTTTGTTCAGTAAGGTAGATCCCCCCTCGCATAGCTCAATACAGGCTCGTTCTGATTCTCCATTAGGAAGTGGCGCGTCAGTATTCATAGGGAAGGCCATATCATTTCTTTTTAAACTTAAGAGCATCGATTGGCTCTAGAATGGTGTGATCTCTAACAAATTCTTGCTATTGCTAAATCTGTTTCGTGGACGGTTGTGGGTGGTCGTACCTTTATTTGTCCATTCGTCAATATCCAGGTGTATCCGGATGTTGATGTTGAAATGGTGCTGCGAAGTTTGAGGTTATTATGATAATCCTCTGTTACAATGAAGCGTATCCAAGACTCTGTGAATGATCAGATGCCTTCAGTTTTTTTGTGGCATGAGCCTTATAGAGATGAATGTACATTAGTGGTGCACACTAGGGCATTCAATCCCGCGAGGATAATCCCGGGATTCCAGGATCCCGGACACTTTTCCATGTCCCGAAATCCCGGGATTACTGCTCCGGGATCCCGAGATTTTTACTGATTCATTTACAGAATGAAAGAGATGTTGAAAACGAAAAAAGGAATTCATTTGACATGAAACACGAGAAATACAGAACACCAAAATTTGGATTCAAAGTGAACTTGAGCCATTCGCACTTGGAAGTGAATTTCAGGACCTGCCTGAAAAACTGTACTTGTTCAAATATTTTGAGCAAAAACTGTGTAATAACGGTAATCTGGTAGCAATTGAAAACAAAACAAGTACGAGCAGCGCTGTCTTCGGCTATGCCGAAGGCTTCATACCTTTTATGAACATCTGAAAATTTTACTTTAACAGATAACTGCATTTGAAACAATCTATATATTCACGGCACACATAGATAGAGATACATATAAAAAAATCATATCTTAACAATCAGAGGTATGGAAGATATACCTTATATAGCACCAATCTAAGTGATTTTGACTGCTGTGTGATCGGTATGTAAACCGGTAACACAATTTAATGGGTTTAGCTTCCTACATAAAGGAGATATATCGTAAAAACTGGTATCTGAACAATCAGTGGTATAAGAGATAAAGCTTATACAGCATAGATTTGGACGATTTTGTCACTAGATTTTGTATTATTATTTATAAAATAGCTTACGAAATTTATCGGTTTTAGCTGTCCAAATAAAGGAGTTTTTTAGTAAAACCCCATATCTGAACAATCAGTTGTATGGAGGCTATAGGTTATAGCAACCCGATCTTCGCCATTTTTACGGAAAGTATTCTTTAAATAATGAGTGACAACAGTACAAAATTTCATGTTCCTAGTTACTTAAATGGAGGAGCTATAACGAAAAATCTCATATCTGAACAATCAGTTATATGGGAGCTATAGGTTATAGTGGCCCGATCTTTGTAATTTTCACTATGAGTTTTCTGTTGATAATGGGTGGAAGTATTGCAGTATTGAAGTTATGACGAAAAATCTCATATCTGAACAATCAGTTGTATGAGAGCTATATGTTATAGAGGTCCGATTCTTCTGGTTCTGACAAACGATTAATACATAATAAAAATAAACCCACCTACCAAATTTCATCCGGATATCTCAAAAACTGAGACTAGATTGCATGCAAACAGACGGACAGACAGACAGACGGGCATGGCTAAATCGACTCAGCTCGACGTTCTGATCATTTGAGTATACATTTTAATGGGTCTATCTCTTCTTATTCTGGTACTTACAAACATCGCACCAAAGTTATAATACCATTTCATGCTCATGAAAGGTATAACAAGCTTTTACAGTGTGGCGGAGTTGTTCTTCATTTTACATACATACTTTGTTGACCTTTTTTTGAAAAGGATTTCTGCAAATATGTATGAATAAATGTTTTTGACAAGTAATATAGATATTTTATAGTAAAAATATCATAATAATAATATAATACTCTTTTACTAAGGGGCATTGTGCTCCCCTAAGACCCAATGTGGTGACATGAATCTGTATGGTTTGAAAAAGGCGAATCTACTGTAAAATGCAAAAGGTTGTGAAGAAGTCGAGATCCCAAAAAATCTCGGGATCCCAGGATTAGAATTTTTACATCCCGAAATCACGGGATTGTTAAAATGCTTCGGGATTGAATGCCCTAGTGCACACGTGAGCCAAACGGAGCCATGTGTACAAGTCATGTGTTCGAACTTCGAAGCTACCGAACTTTTGCGGTGCTAGCAATCAGCCAGTTCGCATTTGTTCTTCACGCAGTAAGCAGCCAGTGTTGTCATTAATAAAAATTGTGGTAGATCTCTAATATACAAGAATGATAGAATACAAGAATGCGCATTCCCGATGGCGATGTCATATCTGAATTAAAAGTAAACAAAGCCCAATAGGAGGATAAAATAAAATGTCGGATTGGTCCACTATCCTAATATTCCCTTTTCGCTAGAAAACGTGTTTTAATTGCTCCAAATTGTAAAAATAAAAATTAATAAATAAAATGTAAACAAACGGTGATGTCAGTGAAAGTATAGTGAATTGCAGTACATTTAAAGTTTTGAGGCGTTGCTTTCTATAAAACCAGAATTGTCAAAATCGGCGAAACCAAAGTAGCGGTTTGCGGCTGGCGCCACCTTTGTTCGCTACGTCGTGTGATAGAATATTTCTATGTAAACATGAACCACATTTGTAAACTTTTTATTAAAGTTATTAAGTAAAAATTAAAAAACAAACAATATATCAGGTCATGAAGTAGTATTCAAGTGTAGATACGCTGCATTCTTATGCACTCCGTACATTACGTTAGGCACGTAGTTTCCTCACTCCGAAATGAATCCGTGACGACTCGACTTCTGCACACTTGCGCGCCGTGTAGAAGTCACCAGATAATAAACACATTTGTGATAACTAATTTTCTTGCTATTCCTTTTTTTCAATTACTCACTTGAATCTTATTGTAGCGAAATACTGCAAAAATGTGTTTGGTTTAATACAATTTGCGTGCATTTCCATACCAAAACATTGATTTTAGTTCATTTTCCCTTAAATATAAAATAATTTGATAAAAACTGAATTTCGAAAAACAAAAATGTAAACAAAAAAATGATTTCAAAACGCTTAGCGCTCGACAACGAATGCATGACGACTCGACTTCTGCACACTTGCACGCCCTGCATAAGTCACCAGCTAATAAACACTTTCTACACATAACACATTTTCTGGCTGTTCTTTCGCAACTACGCACTTCCTCAAATATTTCTGCTCCGAAATATTGCGTAAACGCTTGTGGTTTAATGCAATTTGCACGAATTTTAGCACGAAATCATTAATTTCCAATTATTTTCTATTGAATTGACAAATAAATTTTATTTCCAACACAAAAAAGTAAACAAGTGACGATTTCAAAACTGCTAGCGCCTTACAATGTTGGGCGCTTCGATTCATGAAGCTTTTATGATTAGGCACAAACATGATTTTGAATCGTTATCTACAGAGCTTCATTGAAATACATGGGTTCGGCATAAAAGCTTCATACTTTAGTATGTCGAAACGATTACACTACTATGATTAGGAGCTTAATGTGCGGAGTGCCTTAGGCACTGCGATTCATGCAGCTTTTATGATTAGGCGAAAACATGATTATGAATCGTAATATACAGGGTTTCTTTGAAAAATATGTGTTCTGCACAAAGGCTTCATACTTGAGTATGTCGAGACCATATATGTAATACTTCTATATTGGCAGTAAGCTAACTTCTCAATGTGTAAGCATTCCGAAATCAAAGCGAGTACTTGAGTGCCATTTTTGTATATGTGTTGTGTACTTGTTTATTTATAAACGTATGTGTTCCTTTTCTTTCGTACTTGTTTATTGATATATCCACGATTGAGAGAATACAAAGGTTGCGCCGATCATGGACCGCTATTCCTCTCTTAACGAATTTGACAGAATCGTCGTTTGCATGACGTCACACTGGTGCATCTTGTTTACATTTTCCTTGCAACATTTTTTCTTCTTCTTCCATTCTTGCTCACGTTTTGGCATTTCTCTCTCGCAATTGCACCAGTGTGACGTCACACAAAAGTTATTCTCAAAAATCCTTTCTGATCGGCGCAATCTTGTATTCTATCATTCTTGGATATATCTGTACTGTAGTGTTTTCGGACGATACTAGCTCTTACTGCCAATATAGGAGTATTACATATATGGTCGAGACGTTTACATTGCTATGATTAGGCGCGTAATGTGTTTTGTTCTATCGTAAATTTT